GTGCGAACAGTGAGTTGTGTGGGCGCCCAGTCGCCATAGCCAGTTGAAGAGAACTCATATCTGGTTACAATATCTTAAGTACTGTCAGGGCGCATGTCGCCAGTTGCTGTATCGCTGTTTGCATGCAAGACAAGTGTGAATAATCGGAGTGTGAATGCAGATTGATTGATTTTCACTGATTGATTGATTGATTAATTTTCACTGATTGATTGATTGATTAATTTTCACTGATTGATTGATTGATTAATTTTCACTGATTGATTGATTGATTTTCACTGATTGACTGATTGATTGATTTTCAGTGATTGATTGATAGATTGATTGATTGACTGATTTTGAATCTTTGATTGATTTTGATGGATTGTCAAGTCTGTGGCTCCATACTGACTGATTGATTGATTTGATTGGTTTTACATCAGCTGACTATTTTTGATTAACTGATTAGTCAATTATTTTATGTTAGTCTCTTAAATAGTGCATATGTGTAAGTAGCGCAACAAACTTCTGATATTGCACTGCAAAATTTCATGTTTCCTGAATCTTGTAATGCAAAATTTCATGTTTCCTGAATCTTGTAATGCAAAATTTCATGTTTCCTGCAAATTTTCAATCGCGCTTATTTACCTCTTAATTTCATGTTCTGTAGAACAAACTGATCTGCTGGTTCGTCTGATCGAGTGATTGATTGACTATTTGTCCGTTGATTATTTTCAATTGATCGATTGGTCAATTCTTTTATGCAAGCCTCTAAAATCTTGCAGATGTGTAAATGGTAAACCTGATCCTGTACTGCAAAATATGATGTTTCTTGGATTTTTTTTTTTTTTTTGCTGCTTACTCATCTCCTAGGCTGGTCCCTGGGCCGCCCGGCGGCCTGGTCGTCACCAGAGGGGGGGGGCAGGCTGCCTGGCCGGTTGTCACGTCCGGTTGGCCACCAGGCGCCCCCAGCGCATCACTGCAGGTTCTTTTGTTTTTTTTTTTCGGCGCTGGGGGCCTTTTTGGCCCCATGCTAGACTATCTTGGCCACGGGGGGGAAAAAACGGGGCCGGTAGGCCCGATTTCACCGATTTGAAATCAGGCCCAATCTGGATCCTCGATCTTAAAGATCAACGGCCCAGATGGCCGTGATTTCAAATCGATGAGGGCGGGAACTACCGGCCCCCATTCCCTCCCCCATACTCACGCTGTACACCCAAGGTTCCCCTTTTCGCTGCCCTGCAGTTCTGTCGGACTTCGACTCGCAACTTCGACAAGCCCCACCAGCACCTGCCAATGCCTGTCATCGCGCGCGACCCCGCCATCTCTCCCACCAACACCCGCCATCATGGTTCCCCACCATCGACAACGGAAGGGACTTAGTTGGGGGGAGGAGGAGAGAGAGNGAGAGAGAGAGAGAGAGAGAGAGAGAGAGAGAGAGAGAGAGAGAGAGAGAGAGAGAGAGAGAGAGAGACAGACAGACAGACAGACAGACAGACAGACAGACAGACAGACAGACAGACAGACAGACAGACAGAGAGATCTTTTTCTTCTTCTTCTTCTTCTTCTTCTTCTTCTTCTTCTTCTTCTTTGGCCCCGTTTCGAGCCCCCCTTCCCCCCATCCTCCACCAGCCGTCTTCTTCTTCTTTGCCACCGTCTCGTGACCCCTGCCCACCATATTCCACCCTTCTTCTTCTTCTTCTTCTTCTTCTTCTTCTCCTCCTTTGCTTCTTCTAGGGTGGCGATTCACCTGCTTTCACCCCCCGTCAAACACCAACCCCTGAACCACCCCCCCCAACCCCCCCACTGAAAATTTCGATGTCTTCTCATTCTTCTAGGCGTTATCTGCTTTGAGCGATTTAACTGATCACCTGGTGGGAGCTAGAATTTCCTGAAACGCACAAATGCCGTAGTAAATTTCTACCTCACTTTCCTATCTGCCTTGCACTCTCGCTTTCCTTGTCATTTCATGCTATTGTTTTTTGTTGTTGTTGTTTTCATATCAGACCTGATGTTAAGTTGCGAATACACAATACCAATGGGCCTAGCTCAGTTGGTACACCCATGAACTGCTGAAATGCAGACCCAAGTTCCAATCCAGACACCACCAGATGACCAGAGTAAAATCATTCTGAAGTACGCAGGGCCGGTCAGTTCAACGATGATATCTCAAGGCCGTCGCCCGTTAAAAAGGGGGCCCAGGAGGGGGAGTTGCAAATACAATTCGTCTGCCCACGTTGGATCTAGTCTTTGTCAGGCTCATCCTTGGCGATTATCACAGTACAAACCCGACGCAATGGCGGAATCAGTTCACACACGCGCCAAGCTGGACCTACTCTTTATCCAACTGTTTGTCTCAGCGGTTTACCGGTCACCGAATACTCTTCGCTCTGACTTCTGGTCTCAGCAGTCGACCGGTGCATGCTAAGGCTGACTGGAAAACGCGATTGCTACGCACCACAGGTCGCACACACGCCTTCAACGTACACTAACCTCGCTTTGCACTGTTGCAGCAAATTCTAGAGGCATGGAAGAAGCATTTCCAAGTTCTCAAGCAGGAGATGGTTACCGTGCACAACCGCATGACCTTCAACATATGGCATTTATTGCTGTATTTAGCCTGAAAGATGCCCCAAATACAGCTATAATGACCGTATGTTGCATTCGCTCGAACAAGGTAGAGTTACCCGTGCTGGGCTTCTGTTTCCCAGCTTGAATGACGGTTCATTTCTTTTGAAGCCCGTGTTCATCACGCGTTCTTTTTCGGCTCTGCAGTTACTATCCACAGGCTACATAGATTCT